TATTAAAGGAATATCTTATCTTCTATACCAGTGTCAGTTTCAGTTGATAATTATTATGTTTTTTTTGTCAATAAAACAATTAATTGTTTGGTCTAGATATAATAGTTGCAGAGCTGAATATCCAAACATTTGTTTTTATCCAACGGAACAAAGATATTTAGCATCCCAAGACAGACAGAAGCAGTAACACTATAGCAAAATGATCAATTACTATTATCCTATTACTATTGTTTTTTACTTGCACTACAATTATACAGCTTATTTATACATTTTTTATATTGCATTTTATATATGTCTAGGTTGTTCTTATTGTGTTGTTACTGTGTGTAATGCTGCTGCTACACTGCAATTTCTCAGCTTGGGATCAATAAAGTATATCTATCTATCTATCTTATCCACTAATCTATTCATCAGCTTTTTGTTTCAGAACCTCCTTGAATGCAATAGGCGAATGAACTGTTAAAACATGATTTATTTCAGCATCTTAAATAGCTTCAGCAACATTACATAAATATACCCTTCCAGAAAATGTGCTATTACATCAGATAAAACAGGATTTTAAAGTGCAGCAGAAAATGGTCTATCAGACTGTGCATAGGCTACATGGGTTACACGTTATAGTCAACATCATAAAAGTGCAACATCATCGATCTGTGCGACGTATCATTTGTGCGTTTGTGTTTTTTCTCAGTTCTGATAACAGAATATGAGGCTGCAAGGCTTCATTGCTTATATGTAACTCCCTAGAGCATCTGTAAAGCTACATATGATCTCTTTAATGTGTAGGAGGACGATAAGATGTATCATTTTCCTGTATGATGCATCTTCACACACAGTGAACAGATGCAACAGTGAGTCTATCTGTACAGGTAATCTGCCTGTATGTTGGCTGCTATCTCAGCCTCCCATCGGTCTCCGTTGTTCAGCAGCTTCTCTTTGTTGTACAGCAGCTCCTCGTGGGTCTCTGTGGAGAACTCAAAGTTTGGACCCTGAGGGAGAGAATGAAGAAAAAATAGACATTAAAACGTCTGTAGGCTTAAATCCACAGATGATACAAAGTCCTAGATCTAAGTTTTGATGATGGGTTGAGTGCACAACGCCCCATTTGAATAGATTCAATAAATAATTTCCCCCTTTGCTGAAGGTAACAGTTGACTTTTAGGTAAACCATCTGCATTAAGAACCTATTATTGTTTTGTTCTTGTTCCAAACACTAAATATACATGTTGAACTCTGAGTGGTTCTTCAAAGAAAACAGAGGATTGTAGTAGTTTATTTGAGTTTACTCTGGCAAAAAGAGGAGGCAGGTGTTGCTTTTAGAGGTGAAAAGTTGTACACAAAAAGTGACATTAGTAGTTGTGGCAAATGGCAAAAGACGGAAAAGTCTGCCTACTTTCACACCTCCACATACCTGACCAATAACTGGAAGTGGGTGCGACTGTCTGACTGCCTGTTTTGAGAAGTTGCAGGTTTCTCTACTTGGAAAAAGAAGGTTTCAGACGCTTTTGAACGATCCTACAAGCACTTAGTTTAAAGCATACTGAAGCCTAGAGTGTAGGACACTTATGCGTTGGCATGCACACTAAATAAATACTGGGGATGTAAATGTGACACTGATATGATCTTTAGACGCCCCAAAAAAGATCTCCTGGCAGGAAACATGAAAGGTGACAGAAATAAAGTTACTGAGAAAATGTTCACCTCCACAGAATCTCTTATTCAGTATACGGTCTACGTTTGTTCTTACCTCAACAATGGCATCAACGGGACAGGCTTCCTGGCAGAAGCCACAATAGATACATTTGGTCATATCAATGTCATAGCGAGTAGTTCTCCTGCTGCCATCAGCGCGAGTCTCAGCTTCAATGGTAATGGCCTGGGTGCAACATAGGCAGGAAAGGGAAGAGACAAAAGTCAGACGGGACACTTTATAGTAAAGAAGGCTGACTGATATAGAAAGGTGCAACATCACCTCACAGTAATATTGCTCTTTTCTCTATAGCAGGATCTGAGTGTGTGTTTGTGTTCACCTGAGCGGGGCAGACGGCCTCACACAGCTTACAGGCAATGCAGCGCTCCTCTCCATTAGGGTAGCGGCGGAGGGCGTGCTCGCCACGGAAGCGGGGTGACAGAGGGCCCTTCTCAAACGGGTAGTTGATGGTGGCTGGTTCACGGAACAGGTAACTCATGGTCATCGCCAAACCTGCGGGAAAAGGTGTTGCCGAAGAAAAGAGTTGTGACTCACTTAAAGGACAATGCCGGCGTTTTTCTACATTTTTATTATTGTCACGAAATTCCACGAAAGGACCAAAATCACCAGTGAGCACCAAACTCATTCTGACTTCCCTCACCAAAACAGGTCATAAATATATTGGTTCATTTTTGAAGAGGAAGAGGGATTCCCTTAAACAGCTGAAGCTTTTAGCAAACGTCACTCAAACTGGATTAACAGTTCAATCGATCAAGGAAATGTATAATCAATATACAGCACAAGGTTGACTTTAAATCAATTTTTACAAATTGTGGAGTCGTTTTATTGATGACAGTTATTAGGTATTTCTTCTACTGTCTGGCCGGTAGGTAATGTGTTGTTATGTAGTCACTTGGAGTTCTGCATCTGTACTCTCCTTAACTCAGACACTATAATGGAAATACTAGTCTTAGTCTTTACTGTGTCATCTTCAGCATTATAAAGTCAAATAATCTAAACTAAAAAGACTATTTTCAGACTCAAATTATTAAACATATGGTGCACATATAGGTAATTATGGCAAAAGGGTGGTGTATGTGGAGCTGACTCAAACTGCAGTAGCTGTATTAGTTGTGATATCGGACGATAAAATGTAATACAATTTAACTAATTAAGTGTATTGTTAATGGTTTCTATCTATGGTTTGAAGGAATAAGGTGTACCAGGCCTTTACTACAGAGACAGAAACTTATTGATAGAATAAATCGGTTGTTGGTTTTTGTCTTTTTGCTATTTGTTCACAACAGGAACAAGGTAGAATATCACAAAGCCTTAAACCCTTATAACATAACATGAGATATCTTTACAGAAAACATAGTTTGAGCGACCTCTAAAGAGCTCGGTCCAAAGAAGAGTCGTGGCAGCCCGGTCAGTGATGGACCTCAGGTCTGTTGGCAGCTCCTGAGCATTTACATACTCTACAAGGAGAACAGAGGGAGAGAGGGCATTTAAAAACAAGTGGTAACTACTGACATCGTATGAATAGCTCTTGGTGTGTGGCAGCACTTACTGAAGCCCTCTCTCAGCACACTGACACTGAATGGGCGAGTTACCCCGGGGCTGTATCCGAATGTGCCTGGAGAAGAGAAATGTGGTGTGACAACGGCTCATTTCTGTGTGCATACAGTAGATATGATTCAGGGACATTTGCTTCAGTGGTACCTGGCCTCGAGTAGCAGTGGAGAAGACGCAGACTCAGTGCAGAAGACATCTGAGCAAAGAGGGACAAGTGGACAGCATATTGAGATACAATAAGAGGAACTAAAATGTACACAGCAGATACAGGAAACCCTCGTGTGTTGCAAACAAAGCTGCTCGCTGAAAACAAGGGATGGGTGAGGGAGGGAGGG